GGTGCCACCTATGAGAATCGAGGAGGAGGGGGCTGTTTTTAAAATTAAATAATTAATAAAATTAAATTAATAATAAAATTAAATTTAATCCGAAGGGATGACGTGGCTTTAAGATGCACCTCTTTCAGATCAAGGCCAGGGTTCGGATGAGCCAGTTGCTGTAGTCTAGTCCCCAGAAACTCCATCCTCCAAAAAGCTTTGTGCCTCTTCCTCCAGATCCAGTGCATCCTTCTCGAGAGGATGGGGCAGCTCCTCCTGGGCCTGTGGCACTTCCAGGCCAAGCCTCCTGATCGGGTTCCGGATCAGGGACATCCTCGTTGGTGTCGCCTCTGGGTCGAATTGCATTCGATGGGATGACGTGGCTGTAAGATGCACCTCTTCCAGATCAGGGCCAAGGTTCGGGTAAGCCAGTTTCTCCAGTATAGTCCCCACAAACTCCATCCTTCAGTTCTGGATCCTCCAAGAAGCTTTGTGCCTCTTCCTCCAGATCCAGTGCATCCTTCTCGAGAGGATGGGGCAGCTCCTCCTGGGCCTGAGGCACTTCCAGGCCAAGCCTCCTGATCGGGTTCCGGATCAGGGACATCCTCGTTGGTGTCGCCTCTGGGTCGAATTGCATCCGATGGGATGACGTGGCTGTAAGATGCACCTCTTCCAGATCAGGGCCAAGGTTTGGGTGAACCAGTTTCTCCAGTATAGTCCCCAGAAACTCCATCCTTCAGTTCTGGATCCTCCAAGAAGCTTTGTGCCTCTTCCTCCAGATCCAGTGCATCCTTCTCGAGAGGATGGGGCAGCTCCTCCTGGGCCTGTGGCACCTCCACGCGAAGCCTTCTCTTGGCTCCTGGTCCGCCGGCTTTTTAAAGCCGGCAAAGTCGAACTAATTTTTGGCGCTTTTTGGCGGCGCTTAGGTGCCACCTATGAGAATCGAGGAGGAGGAGGCTGTTTTTAAAATTAAATAATTAATAAAATTAAATTAATAATAAAATTAAATTTAATCCGAAGGGATGACGTGGCTTTAAGATGCACCTCTTTCAAATCAGGGCCAGGGTTCGGATGAGCCAGTTGCTGTAGACTAGTCCCCAGAAACTCCATCCTCCAAAAAACTTTGTGCCTCTTCCTCCAGATCCAGTGCATCCTTCTCGAGAGGATGGGGCAGCTCCTCCTGGGCCTGTGGCACTTCCAGGCCAAGCCACCTGATCGGGTTCCGGATCAGGGACATCCTCGTTGGTGTCGCCTCTGGGTCGAATTGCATCCGATGGGATGACGTGGCTGTAAGATGCACCTCTTCCAGATCAGGGCCAAGGTTCGGGTGAGCCAGTTTCTCCAGTATAGTCCCCACAAACTCCATCCTTCAGTTCTGGATCCTCCAAGAAGCTTTGTGCCTCTTCCTCCAGATCCAGTGCATCCTTCTCGAGAGGATGGGGCAGCTCCTCCTGGGCCTGAGGCACTTCCAGGCCAAGCCTCCTGATCGGGTTCCGGATCAGGGACATCCTCGTTGGTGTCGCCTCTGGGTCGAATTGCATCCGATGGGATGACGTGGCTGTAAGATGCACCTCTTCCAGATCAGGGCCAAGGTTTGGGTGAACCAGTTTCTCCAGTATAGTCCCCAGAAACTCCATCCTCCAGTTCTGGATCCTCCAAAAAGCTTTGTGCCTCTTCCTCCAAATCCAGTGCATCCTTCTCGAGAAGATGGGGCAGCTCCTCCTGGGCCTGTGGCACCTCCACGCCAAGCCTCCTCTTGGCTCCTGGTCCGCCGGCTTTTTAAAGCCGGCAAAGTCGAACTAATTTTTGGCGCTTTTTGGCGGCGCTTAGGTGCCACCTATGAGAATCGAGGAGGAGGGGGCTGTTTTTAAAATTAAATAATTAATAAAATTAAATTAATAATAAAATTAAATTTAATCCGAAGGGATGACGTGGCTTTAAGATGCACCTCTTTCAAATCAGGGCCAGGGTTCGGATGAGCCAGTTGCTGTAGACTAGTCCCCAGAAACTCCATCCTCCAAAAAGCTTTGTGCCTCTTCCTCCAGATCCAGTGCATCCTTCTCGAGAGGATGGGGCAGCTCCTCCTGGGCCTGTGGCACTTCCAGGCCAAGCCTCCTGATCGGGTTCCGGATCAGGGACATCCTCGTTGGTGTCGCCTCTGGGTCGAATTGCATTCGATGGGATGACGTGGCTGTAAGATGCACCTCTTCCAGATCAGGGCCAAGGTTCGGGTGAGCCAGTTTCTCCAGTATAGTCCCCACCAACTCCATCCTTCAGTTCTGGATCCTCCAAGAAGCTTTGTGCCTCTTCCTTCAGATCCAGTGCATCCTTCTCGAGAGGATGGGGCAGCTCCTCCTGGGCCTGTGGCACTTCCAGGCCAAGCCTCCTGATCGGGTTCCGGATCAGGTGCATCCTCGATGGTGTCGCCACTGGGTCGAATTGCATTCGATGGGATGACGTGGCTGTAAGATGCACCTCTTCCAGATCAGGGCCAAGGTTCGGGTGAGCCAGTTTCTCCAGTATAGTCCCCACCAACTCCATCCTTCAGTTCTGGATCCTCCAAGAAGCTTTGTGCCTCTTCCTTCAGATCCAGTGCATCCTTCTCGAGAGGATGGGGCAGCTCCTCCTGGGCCTGTGGCACCTCCACGCCAAGCCTCCTCTTGGCTCCTGGTCCGCCGGCTTTTTAAAGCCGGCAAAGTCGAACTAATTTTTGGCGCTTTTTGGCGGCGCTTAGGTGCCACCTATGAGAATCGAGGAGAAGGGGGCTTTTTTTAAAATTAAATAATTAATAAAATTAAATTAATAATAAAATTAAATTTAATCCGAAGGGATGACGTGGCTTTAAGATGCACCTCTTTCAAATCAGGGCCAGGGTTCGGATGAGCCAGTTGCTGTAGACTAGTCCCCAGAAACTCCATCCTCCAAAAAGCTTTGTGCCTCTTCCTCCAGATCCAGTGCATCCTTCTCGAGAGGATGGGGCAGCTCCTCCTGGGCCTGAGGCACTTCCAGGCCAAGCCTCCTGATCGGGTTCCGGATCAGGGACATCCTCGTTGGTGTCGCCTCTGGGTCGAATTGCATCCGATGGGATGACGTGGCTGTAAGATGCACCTCTTTCAAATCAGGGCCAAGGTTCGGGTGAGCCAGTTTCTCCAGTATAGTCCCCACAAACTCCATCCTTCAGTTCTGGATCCTCCAAGAAGCTTTGTGCCTCTTCCTCCAGATCCAGTGCATCCTTCTCGAGAGGATGGGGCAGCTCCTCCTGGGCCTGTGGCACTTCCAGGCCAAGCCTCCTGATCGGGTTCCGGATCAGGGACATCCTCGTTGGTGTCGCCTCTGGGTCGAATTGCATCCGATGGGATGACGTGGCTGTAAGATGCACCTCTTCCAGATCAGGGCCAAGGTTTGGGTGAACCAGTTTCTCCAGTATAGTCCCCAGAAACTCCATCCTCCAGTTCTGGATCCTCCAAAAAGCTTTGTGCCTCTTCCTCCAAATCCAGTGCATCCTTCTCGAGAAGATGGGGCAGCTCCTCCTGGGCCTGTGGCACCTCCACGCGAAGCCTCCTCTTGGCTCCTGGTCCGCCGGCTTTTTAAAGCCGGCAAAGTCGAACTAATTTTTGGCGCTTTTTGGCGGCGCTTAGGTGCCACCTATGAGAATCGAGGAGGAGGAGGCTGTTTTTAAAATTAAATAATTAATAAAATTAAATTAATAATAAAATTAAATTTAATCCGAAGGGATGACGTGGCTTTAAGATGCACCTCTTTCAAATCAGGGCCAGGGTTCGGATGAGCCAGTTGCTGTAGACTAGTCCCCAGAAACTCCATCCTCCAAAAAGCTTTGTGCCTCTTCCTCCAGATCCAGTGCATCCTTCTCGAGAGGATGGGGCAGCTCCTCCTGGGCCTGAGGCACTTCCAGGCCAAGCCTCCTGATCGGGTTCCGGATCAGGGACATCCTCGTTGGTGTCGCCTCTGGGTCGAATTGCATCCGATGGGATGACGTGGCTGTAAGATGCACCTCTTTCAAATCAGGGCCAAGGTTCGGGTGAGCCAGTTTCTCCAGTATAGTCCCCACAAACTCCATCCTTCAGTTCTGGATCCTCCAAGAAGCTTTGTGCCTCTTCCTCCAGATCCAGTGCATCCTTCTCGAGAGGATGGGGCAGCTCCTCCTGGGCCTGTGGCACTTCCAGGCCAAGCCTCCTGATCGGGTTCCGGATCAGGGACATCCTCGTTTGTGTCGCCTCTGGGTCGAATTGCATCCGATGGGATGACGTGGCTGTAAGATGCACCTCTTTCAAATCAGGGCCAAGGTTCGGGTGAGCCAGTTTCTCTTGTATAGTCCCCAGAAACTCCATCCTTCAGTTCTGGATCCTCCAAGAAGCTTTGTGCCTCTTCCTCCAGATCCAATGCATCCTTCTCGAGAGGATGGGGCAGCTCCTCCTGGGCCTGTGGCACTTCCAGGCCAAGCCTCCTGATCGGGTTCCGGATCAGGTGCATCCTCGTTGGTGTCGCCACTGGGTCGAATTGCATCCGATGGGATGACGTGGCTGTAAGATGCACCTCTTCCAGATCAGGGCCAAGGTTCGGGTGAGCCAGTTTCTCCAGTATAGTCCCCAGAAACTCCATCCTCCAAGAAGCCTTGTGCCTCTTCCTTCAGATCCAGTGCATCCTTTTCGAGAGGATGGGGCAGCTCCTCCTGGGCCTGTGGCACTTCCAGGCCAAGCCTCCTGATCGGGTTCCGGATCAGGTGCATCCTCGATGGTGTCGCCTCTGGGTCGAATTGCATCCGATGGGATGACGTGGCTGTAAGATGCACCTCTTCCAGATCAGGGCCAAGGTTCGGGTGAGCCAGTTTCTCTTGTATAGTCCCCACAAACTCCATCCTTCAGTTCTGGATCCTCCAAAAAGCATTGTGCCTCTTCCTCCAAAACCAGTGCATCCTTCTCGAGAAGATGGGGCAGCTCCTTCTGGGACTGTGGCACCTCCACGCCAAGCCTCCTCTTGGCTCCTGGTCCACCGGCTTTTTAAAGCCGGCAAAGTCGAACTAATTTTTGGCGCTTTTTGGCGGCGCTTAGGTGCCACCTATGAGAATCGAGGAGGAGGGGGCTGTTTTTAAAATTAAATAATTAATAAAATTAAATTAATAATAAAATTAAATTTAATCCGAAGGGATGACGTGGCTTTAAGATGCACCTCTTTCAGATCAAGGCCAGGGTTCGGATGAGCCAGTTGCTGTAGTCTAGTCCCCAGAAACTCCATCCTCCAAAAAGCTTTGTGCCTCTTCCTCCAGATCCAGTGCATCCTTCTCGAGAGGATGGGGCAGCTCCTCCTGGGCCTGTGGCACTTCCAGGCCAAGCCTCCTGATCGGGTTCCGGATCAGGGACATCCTCGTTGGTGTCGCCTCTGGGTCGAATTGCATCCGATGGGATGACGTGGCTGTAAGATGCACCTCTTCCAGATCAGGGCCAAGGTTCGGGTGAGCCAGTTTCTCCAGTATAGTCCCCACAAACTCCATCCTTCAGTTCTGGATCCTCCAAGAAGCTTTGTGCCTCTTCCTTCAGATCCAGTGCATCCTTCTCGAGAGGATGGGGCAGCTCCTCCTGGGCCTGTGGCACTTCCAGGCCAAGCCTCCTGATCGGGTTCCGGATCAGGTGCATCCTCGATGGTGTCGCCACTGGGTCGAATTGCATCCGATGGGATGACGTGGCTGTAAGATGCACCTCTTCCAGATCAGGGCCAAGGTTTGGGTGAACCAGTTTCTCCAGTATAGTCCCCAGAAACTCCATCCTCCAGTTCTGGATCCTCCAAAAAGCTTTGTGCCTCTTCCTCCAAATCCAGTGCATCCTTCTCGAGAAGATGGGGCAGCTCCTCCTGGGCCTGTGGCACCTCCACGCCAAGCCTCCTCTTGGCTCCTGGTCCGCCGGCTTTTAAAGCCGGCAAAGTCGAACTAATTTTTGGCGCTTTTTGGCGGCGCTTAGGTGCCACCTATGAGAATCGAGGAGGAGGGGGCTGTTTTTAAAATTAAATAATTAATAAAATTAAATTAATAATAAAATTAAATTTAATCCGAAGGGATGACGTGGCTTTAAGATGCACCTCTTTCAAATCAGGGCCAGGGTTCGGATGAGCCAGTTGCTGTAGACTAGTCCCCAGAAACTCCATCCTCCAAAAAGCTTTGTGCCTCTTCCTCCAGATCCAGTGCATCCTTCTCGAGAGGATGGGGTAGCTCCTCCTGGGCCTGAGGCACTTCCAGGCCAAGCCTTCTGATCGGGTTCCGGATCAGGGACATCCTCGTTGGTGTCGCCTCTGGGTCGAATTGCATCCGATGGGATGACGTGGCTGTAAGATGCACCTCTTCCAGATCAGGGCCAAGGTTTGGGTGAACCAGTTTCTCCAGTATAGTCCCCAGAAACTCCATCCTCCAGTTCTGGATCCTCCAAAAAGCTTTGTGCCTCTTCCTCCAAATCCAGTGCATCCTTCTCGAGAAGATGGGGCAGCTCCTCCTGGGCCTGTGGCACCTCCACGCCAAGCCTCCTCTTGGCTCCTGGTCCGCCGGCTTTTTAAAGCCGGCAAAGTCGAACTAATTTTTGGCGCTTTTTGGCGGCGCTTAGGTGCCACCTATGAGAATCGAGGAGGAGGGGGCTGTTTTTTAAATTAAAGAATTAATTAAATTAAATTAATAATAAAATTAAATTTAATCCGAAGGGATGACGTGGCTTTAAGATGCACCTCTTTCAAATCAGGGCCAGGGTTCGGATGAGCCAGTTGCTGTAGACTAGTCCCCAGAAACTCCATCCTCCAAAAAGCTTTGTGGCTTTCCTCCAGATCCAGTGCATCCTTCTCGAGAGGATGGGGCAGCTCCTCCTGGGCCTGTGGCACTTCCAGGCCAAGCCTCCTGATCGGGTTCCGGATCAGGGACATCCTCGCTGGTGTCGCCTCTGGGTCGAATTGCATCCGATGGGATGACGTGGCTGTAAGATGCACCTCTTCCAGATCAGGGCCAAGGTTCGGGTGAGCCAGTTTCTCCAGTATAGTCCCCACAAACTCCATCCTTCAGTTCTGGATCCTCCAAGAAGCTTTGTGCCTCTTCCTCCAAATCCAGTGCATCCTTCTCGAGAAGATGGGGCAGCTCCTCCTGGGACTGTGGCACCTCCACGCCAAGCCTCCTCTTGGCTCCTGGTCCGCCGGCTTTTTAAAGCCGGCAAAGTCGAACTAATTTTTGGCGTTTTTTGGCGGCGCTTAGGTGCCACCTATGAGAATCGAGGAGGAGGGGGCTGTTTTTAAAATTAAATAATTAATAAAATTAAATTAATAATAAAATTAAATTTAATCCGAAGGGATGACGTGGCTTTAAGATGCACCTCTTTCAGATCAAGGCCAGGGTTCGGATGAGCCAGTTGCTGTAGTCTAGTCCCCAGAAACTCCATCCTCCAAAAAGCTTTGTGCCTCTTCCTCCAGATCCAGTGCATCCTTCTCGAGAGGATGGGGCCTCCTTATCGGGTTCCGGATCAGGTGCATTCGCGTTGGTGTCGCCACTGGGTCGAATTGCATCCGATGGGATGACGTTGGTGCGATGAAACTCGCTTCTGGGTTCACTGATTACTGAATGGTACTTTGTTTCCTGATCGGATACAAATTGGCCGAGCTATGGCCATCGGAAGGAGCAAAAGTGGCCAAATTGGGAAAAGCCACATTTTTCTAGGGGTAACTCTTGGATAAAATTCGAAAAATTTCAAAACTATATTAAAGCAATATTTTAAATGAGGAAACTCGCTTCTGGGTTCGCTGATTACTGAATGGTACTTTGTTTCCTGATCGGATACAAATTGGCCGAGCTATGGCCATCGGAAGGAGCAAAAGTGGCCAAAGTGGGAAAAGCCACATTTTTCTAGGGGTACCCCTTGGAAAAATTTCGAAAAATTTCAAAACTATATTTGAGCAATATTTTATATGAGGAAACTCGCTTCTGGGTTCACTAATTACTGAATGGTTCTTTGTTTCCTGATCGGATACAAATTGGCCGAGCTATGGCCATCGGAAGGAGCAAAAGTGGCCAAAGTGGGAAAAGCCACATTTTTCTAGGGGTAACTCTTGGATAAAATTCGAAAAATTTCAAAACTATATTAAAGCAATATTTTAAATGAGGAAACTCGCTTCTGGGTTCGCTGATTACTGAATGGTACTTTGTTTCCTGATCGGATACAAATTGGCCGAGCTATGGCCATCGGAAGGAGCAAAAGTGGCCAAAGTGGGAAAAGCCACATTTTTCTAGGGGTACCCCTTGGAAAAATTTCGAAAAATTTCAAAACTATATTTGAGCAATATTTTATATGAGGAAACTCGCTTCTGGGTTCACTAATTACTGAATGGTTCTTTGTTTCCTGATCGGATACAAATTGGCCGAGCTATGGCCATCGGAAGGAGCAAAAGTGGCCAAAGTGGGAAAAGCCACATTTTTCTAGGGGTAACTCTTGGATAAAATTCGAAAAATTTCAAAACTATATTAAAGCAATATTTTAAATGAGGAAACTCGCTTCTGGGTTCGCTGATTACTGAATGGTACTTTGTTTCCTGATCGGATACAAATTGGCCGAGCTATGGCCATCGGAAGGAGCAAAAGTGGCCAAATTGGGAAAAGCCACATTTTTCTAGGGGTAACTCTTGGATAAAATTCGAAAAATTTCAAAACTATATTAAAGCAATATTTTGAATGAGGAAACTCGCATCTGGGTTCACTGATTACTGATAGGTACTTTGTTTCCTGATCGGATACAAATTGGCCGAGCTATGGCCATCGGAAGGAGCAAAAGTGGCCAAAGTGGGAAAAGCCACATTTTTCTAGGGGTACCCCTTGGAAAAATTTCGAAAAATTTAAAAACTATATTTGAGCAATATTTTGAATGAGGAAACTCGCTTCTGGGTTCGCTGATTACTGAATGGTACTTTGTTTCCTGATCGGATACAAATTGGCCGAGCTATGGCCATCGGAAGGAGCAAAAGTGGCCAAAGTGGGAAAAGCCACATTTTTCTAGGGGTACCCCTTGGAAAAATTTCGAAAAATTTAAAAACTATATTTGAGCAATATTTTGAATGAGGAAACTCGCATCTGGGTTCACTGATTACTGATAGGTACTTTGTTTCCTGATCGGATACAAATTGGCCGAGCTATGGCCATCGGAAGGAGCAAAAGTGGCCAAAGTGGGAAAAGCCACATTTTTCTAGGGGTACCCCTTGGAAAAAATTCGAAAAATTTCAAAACTATATTTGAGCAATATTTTGAATAAGGAAACTCGCTTCTGGGTTCACTGATTACTGAATGGTACTTTGTTTCCTGATCGGATACAAATTGGCCGAGCTATGGCCATCGGAAGGAGCAAAAGTGGCCAAATTGGGAAAAGCCACATTTTTATAGGGGTACCCCTTGGAAAAAATTCGAAAAATTTCAAAACTATATTGAAGGGCCTTGTACTATAGGCCTTTTACGTGGCATACTAGCCAGCTGCTGTCAGCGATCGAGCGTGGACATCAACCACGCGACTAGCATGCGTGTTTCTCGCGATTTTGAAGCGATTCCCCAGGGCCCAGCGTTTTTAAAAGAGGAAACCCATAAATGTCCATCAATTACTACGAGCGAGCCTCTAAGACGTCACAGGCAGGGCAGGGTAGGCTGATCTTAAGCACTGGGAGACAACTCTCTACCGAATTATATGGCAAGATATCAATTGGCCCGGAGGGCAGAGGCGACTCGATCGTTTCATTGGCCAAGCCTCTAATTAAACGTTTCGAAATGGCACGCTAAGCCCCGAAAAGGGGGGGCGGTGGGCGCCACGCAAGGGGAGTGGCAGCACGCATAAGAAACTTACGCACATCGAGGCAACAACAGAGCCCGTGTGTGTTTGTTAGAGTGTTATAAAATGAGTTTAGGTCCCGATACCTTGAGTGTGATTAATGAGCGGCTTAAGTGAATCTCATACCGAATCTGAGTCTGAGCCTGCTCAGTTGGCCAGGCTGATGAGGCACTAATTTGACTTAAAAACGCATTAAAAACCATTTTCGATAAGAGCTCCCCAAATCGTGATTTCGGCAAGGGTTTTCCCGTACTTATCTGCCTGGCCAAAAAAATAAAAAAAAAAACTAGACGTCGACGTCTCGTGGTCTAGGTCGTCATTTTGTGAAAGTTGTGCAAAAAAACCAAAAAAACCCGATAAAAAAATCCAAAATTAAACGAAGAAGATGAAATTCCAAAAACGCCTCGAAAGGTATGAGAGTGCAAAGCTCTTGCTTTATGGGACATAGCCTATTGGCAATCAGCTGCGAACATAAATAATAGATTTTTTAATGGAAGTGGAATGAAAGATACCCTATAAGTCTAAGATTTTATATTTTAAATAAATTTGTACACAGATTACCATCTCAAAAAGCCCTCATTCAATATCTTAAAAATTAAAATAAAATATAAAGCCTCTATAATATACCTCTACTGCCCTAACCCTATAACTGAAATTGATTTAAATGCCTTTAGAGAAAGACAAAAGCGACAAAAAAAGAGGTAACTCCTACAATTGTGCGTGGTCTTGGCCATTAAAAGCCTTTTCTTGCCAATGCTTATGGCCATATGTGTGCGATTTCCATGTATCCTCAATGTCTTAAGCCAAAGGCAACGGCAGTCACAAAATCTGAGACAGATAAAAGCTGTTAAATGACCTTCATTGGCCATAAAATCCAAAATCATCGCCCCGAACAATGAATCGTATCTATGGGCCAAAAACCAGCGGCAACAACACCAATAACAATAACAAAAGCACAAACAAAAAACAACAATTGGCAAGCAAAATTAACAATTTAAATAAATTCACTTTATTGCAGTTCGCATATTGGCGACAATGTAAAACAAACAATAAAACTTGTCAATAAATAATCCCGGCTCATTGTCTCCACAGCGCGTCATGAATGGCCCGAACCGTTGGACTTCCGGTCTTGATTCGGGCCAAAAACCGCACATATCGTATAACCAACAAGAAAATGAATCACGGGCCACAAAAGGCCACAAAGTTCAAAGTTGAGCGGGCCAAATTGAGAGATTAGCTGGACGATCTGCCATCTATGATCTGATATCTACGGATTGCCCGGAATTACGCTCCGGACAATTCCCATCGCTTCTCAGCTTTTCTCCGCTCGGCTCTGGTTTTGTTTCTGGGCTCGGGCTCTTGGCTCTGAGCTGATGTTGGCCTGGCTTAGAGCGCTCAGTTGGGTACGAGCTGCTGCCGTGAGCATTGGCCAAACGCGCGATACGGAAAACAAAAAAAACCAAAAAGCCTAAAATCAAAAATCGAAAATTCGAATCGAAATCTTCGCTCCGCTGTTTTCGGTACGTGTTGAGTTTTTTAATTTGTAGAATTTTCAAGTGAATTGGTGGTACAAACAAAAAGAGAAAATAATTCACAAAAATCAAAATCAAATTAATGCAGTTTATAAAGTGAAGTGAAAAAGGTTTATGAATTAAAAACAAAAAAACTCAACAAACAACAAATAAACCATTATATCTGACACTCCACCCAGTAAGTAGTTATTTAAGTGAATAAATATTCAATTTACCTAGACCGCAATAAATTAATATATTTAATTAATCTGTCGTTTCTGATTTATTATAACATTTTATTGTTTTCATTTGTCTATATATTTTTTATTCGCCTGGCTTGTTGTACACACATGTGAGAGATGAAGAAATACCACAAATTAAATCAAAGCGCTCACAAAACAAAATCAACAAAATGCAGACAACATTTTAAGCAAATAAAAACAACAAACCAACAAAAAAAAAGATATATATAATAAAAATGGGGAGAAGAAACCTGGCCATGGCCTTCAAAAGTCGTGGTTAATTTCTCAGCTAAATGCAGGCATAAAATATATGTTTAAAAAATTATAATGAAGCCATCTTACAGGCCCTCTGATACAGACTAGTACCTAGCCGGTTACAAAGATACTAATACTTTAAATCTTCAACCCCAAAATGCATTTGGAAATCGCAGAACCATTAGGTGTACATTTTAATTAAGACCCCCATATAATTAATTAGCAGAGTTTCAAGTTCATTCATCTCCTTCTGTGGCTGCTAATATTCCAATTAGACCCTGAGCAATGGCAACACATTTCTATTAAGAGTCCCAAACAAAAAGTTCCATTCGAGTGAATAAGTGAGAATGTCTGGCTGCTTTCAACTCGAGACAAAGATAAAGATCCGACAATCGATCATTACTCAGGCAGCTAGGCAGCAAGGCGAGCCTGGCCAATAATCAATTAAATATAGATAGATGATTTTGCGGCCAAATCAGCCGAATTCAAACAAATGGAATTGAATAAGGTCTAGCCATTTGAGCACTCAATTTGGGACACAAAAACCAGCCCAAAACGATGCCGCAGCCAATGGATTAGCGTGGCCGAGCTGTTGGCCAAAAAGATCTTAAACAATTTCATTAACTTTTGGCCTGGCGCCCTAATGATGTGCAAATGGCCCCAAACACACCATAAAACACACTCACACACCGCCACAGAAATTGGTAAGACAAACTTTTGGCCTGTCTCCGGCTCACACAGACTCGGTCCCAAATGCGACTTCTTTTGGCCACCTTTATGATTTATGAGGTGATCGCTTGACGCAACTCTGCTCTCGAGGGGAAATACCAACGATACGTGGGTGTAGCTCCATGTGCAAGACTCTATTAGTGGCTAGGAAGACATGTTAAAAAAATTGAACCCATCAGACAAAATATTATGGGAAAAAGGCAAGACAAATATCTACCAAAGTCTCTATTTCTACAGTCTCTGTTTGTAGTATTTTTAATCATATCTATAACTATTTGTTTTCTGTGTACATTAACTTACTTATGTGTCATTGAAGCTTGAATGTTGACTGATTTGTTTTGCTCAAAACTGGCCAAAGAGCCTGTGATCCCGGAAATCCTATCCCAGCGTGTGGCAGGTGTTTCTTTATCCCAATAAATTCCATTTAATTCTTGACTGCTGGCTGACTCAAGAGTAAAGTGTTTTTGCTTTTTTTGTTCTATAAATAATTGTGTTATAGATTTATAAAAAAAAAAACTTAAAAAGTAAAGCATGGCCTGACACGAAATCCGGTTTCTGGCTTTGACACTGCGAGTGCTTTCGATCTGATAGCTTGTACTGAATAATATAGAAATAATATAACACTCTGTGTGCCTTTGTTTGGGGAAGTTTAAATTTTAATAACTACTTTTTGACAAGCGATTAATATGGTTGCAGTTTCTAAAATGGGAATTTTTCACTACCCCATTTAATGTCTATTATTTGGCGGGGAAGCTCCACTTCTTTCGTGACTTTATTACCGTCATTTGGATGTCAGTGGGCAATGCCAACAAATCATTAGAGTTTATAAATATTGTCATTAGCCGACAGCTCGGGTTGCCAATTGAAAACGCCCCCACGATGCCTGGGGCTGGGGACTGCGGTCTGTGGGCGTGACCTGTCTATTATCCAACATGGCGTATACTTAATCTACGTATACTTAATCTTGTTGTTCGTCACTTTCACTTTTTGCCAATTTATTTTCGCTATTTACGGGAGTTGTTCGGTCTGCTGCTTGTTTGTTGTACTTTATACAAGGCTGTCCGTGTCCGTATTGTCCGTGTTTCTGGTGTTTATGTTATTGTCTCGGTTGTTGATTGTTTGTCTTAACAATGTGCCCCGAGTAAGCCCCCATACTATTTGAGCCGTAAAACGAGCACTTGCTGGGCAAACATTTGCTTTGCGGAAAAGCGTCCGAAAACGCCTCATGAAAATGTCTTTTTCGCAATTGTCTGTTTTATGCGATTCCCCATGGAAATGACGAGCTATGGTGCGAACCTGCCACTTTTGTGCGACTTCTTCTTGGCAATTCCCGACTAATATTTGGCCAAATAATTCACGGCAGTTTCTCTTTCGCTTCAGATTTCCGACTACCCGCTGAGGACAGCTGCTGAATCGCAATCGAGTCGAATGCAAATGCAAATCGACGCCGAATGAATTGACAATGACAAAGAGTATTAAATGTCCGCCCGCTTCTAGTTGTAACCGCGTTCTCCTTACCTATGTGGTGAGTACTGATATTCCCGGGATCAGATAAGATCGAAATACTAATGAAGAGTCCCTTCCAGATATTAGCTTATACTGTAGCAGCACACAGCTCGCCCCCGCCATGCGGATTGTATGGAGCGCCGCCTTGCCAGTTCCTTCCGGCCCCTCCGGGACAGACGCCAACCTGTGCCCGGCCCGGAAAGACGTACTGCGAGCATGCCGATAATTATCCCACGTAAGTACAAGTACTTTCTTTCTATTTTTGGAGTATCTTCATTAAAAAAATGGTATAATGGGTGGTTTGACAAAACCTTTATGGAGGCTCAACTTAAAGAAAATAGACCTTATATTGAAAAGGGCCAACGGCTTACTTGGATACACAATCCACCTTTGAAAAAATATATATTAATGCAAAACATACAAAGGTTTAATTTCTTTCAAGTCATTTAAAGATAACACGGAAACCAACTAAAGATAATCAAACCCAATTTAAAAGCCAATACGAAACGACATCATTATTAAAAGATCCATAATGTTAAATTTATCAAAAATCAAATTTAAAAAACAACTGCAGACCCAATCAATATCCACTTCATACAAATGCATTTCAAACAAATGTTTGGCCACGAGACAATTTCGACTACAACTTGAATTCGCTAACGAAATCGAAACTTGTCCGGCGGCATCCCATTATGATTAGCATATACGGCATGCGGATCGGGTCGAACGAGTGAGCATCTATCTATCCGAGTATCTATTGTTGGTGGTGCTTCCGCGACGAGAGCACTCGGATTCGAGATGCCGAGATACTCGAGATGATGCTCCTCTCAGTCATCTGGCTGAACAGCCGGCGGGGGGAGCTCCTTGACCCAATAAACTTGAATTGACAGTTCAAGACACTTTTTGTTTGGCTCCGTACAACTCTACTCGAAAATCGTTTGGCGACGATGAGACGACGAGCAAGACAACGACTGGCCGCGTGCTTCTCGAATATTTATGAATGCCTCCAATGAATAATCGTGTCTTCGGGGCATCATAAGTTGCTCAGACCGGCACTTGGCGCGTGAGCTAGAGTATTTCGGATATGCCCCTCCATGTTTGATGCGAATTTATGAATAATTTGTTGAAAATTATATTCCTAATTCTGCTAGGCTATGTTGTTAAGGCCTTTATTTAAATATTAGCATGCCTATCTTTCACGAAAGAGCATCCACTATTCATGATGTGGCTTTCCCCTAAAAGTGCATCTTTTGTTTGAGGTCTTAGGTTGTCATCCGCCTTCGCGCTGGTCTCGAGACTAACCAGTCTGCTATTTTTAGAGAATTTCTTCGAGTTGGGGTATTTAAATAAAATGTGCGTTAGTCGGTAATGGTAATTCAAATGGCTTGATAAGCCCTCGGCGCCGACTGGGCAATTAAATAGGCATTTTTATTACAAAGCCTGCATTGGAATTTCTGTGCGTTGCATAATTCTCACCCAAAAATAAACAAACAGCCAGATATCATATGGGAAAGCCCAAAGCTGGTTTTTTTTTTCGGTGACTATAGGTGGGGTCTGGCCCCGCCCCCGCTACCCGTGAACACCTTTCTCTGTGGCAGTTTTGTGTGGCACGTGATGGGCATGCGATGCACGTTGATAACAGAAGCAAAAATTTGTGAAAAAAAATATTAACTCCGGGGCAGTGCCAATTTATTATTTACGATGTCTGCCCCTCCTCCTCCTCCTCGGTGGGTTCGCATATTAATTATGATACTCATATTTGATTTGGCTTGGGCAACTCCGCAATTACCATTTCCATGGCGATTTCTGGCACTTGTCAGTCAGTCGGGCTGTGACTTGCATAAGTCGATGGCTTCAACAAGTGCTTCCACAAGTGCATGAGTTTCGCTTTCCCAGCCACTCTTGCATCATCCATTGTTTTCCACTGGGGCACCTCGAAAAACAGGTCATACTCAAAAATAACGCACATGTGTAAATAAAAGATAAAGATATTAAACAGTTTCTTTTCGGTACAGGTATCTCATAAAAAGTCTGGTCCGCAAGTGGGGCTATGAGGCTGCCACACTTCTGGTGGACGAGACGTGGGAGGACTTTGCAGCAGTGGCGTGGCACGACACCCCGGTCTTCTACGATCCCAAGTCCATCTTTCCGACACGCGATCCCAATGGCCAGGATTTCAATGGCTACAACTACCAAACCCCCTTCGGAGGCACACCCCAAAGAGTAGCCGGAGGTGGTGGTGGGAACTCTTACTTTGCCAGCAGCCCATCGACGGAGGCCCCAACGTGAGTTTCCCAACTAGACTCTTGGGAATCGGAGACTCTAAGTATTCTCTATCTACCATCAGGTATCTGCTGTACACATCCTCTGGCGGCGGAGGACAGCGCTCGGGACAGCGGTATAATCATCAAGGTGGCGCCTCCACATCCGGAGGACAGTTGTTCTTTAACCAGGGCGGCAAGTCCACTCCGTACAACGCCACGCTGTGGCTGAAGCGTTTGGTAAGGGATCTCAGTCGCAAGGTGGACAAGCCCCAAGACCAACCGGAGGAGAAAGACGAGTCGAAGAAGGAGGTGGAGAAGCCTGAGGAGGAGGAGGAGCATACGCTAAGCAAGCGCGATGTCTCGCTCAACATGGATCTCTTGGACATTGTGGGCGTGGACTCCCCCAATGCCGCCCAGCCGCTGATGAAGCGTTCACGCACCAAGCGCCAAAGTCCTGGACGCTCGACGCTCTGCCAGACCACCTCGCAGTTCATCACTCCCCAGGCGGCGCTCAACAGTCGGGGCAACTGGATGTTTGTGGTCAACGAGCAGAACACTGCCCGTCAGATGGTGAAGGCGGAGCTGTGCGCGTGAGTATGGGGGTCAGAAAAGTTGGGATATCAGTAGCTACCTATAGGAAAATTAATTCTTTATTCCAGACCTCTTAAAATATATATTTTTTTACCTTTTTTGAATTAATTTAACATTTAAGTTTCATGAATCTTTCCTCCAAAATATTTGTACATATTATTTACATAATAATTCTATGTTTAGTCAAGACACAACCCTGTAAAGTATGTTTGTCTCAAAAAGGTGATGGACATGGCTAAGAGAAGTTGGAAATGATGGAAAACTGCAATGCAGTTTAAAATTTCAAAAACGGGTTTTAAAGTCCAAAATTTAAACTTCCAACTAGCTTTTGAGAAAATATAAATTTACAAAAATGCATAGCTTAGCTGAGAAACTAAATCCATACCTCTCTGGTCCAAAATAGATTTTTTTTGAGTTTCTTGACCCTTATTATCAACCCTAATAATTAAAGTACGGATTGACTTTCCACCTTGACTCATAATTGCAATTACAATTAAACTGCATTAGGGGATGAGCCGAGAAGTATACTTGAAGTTGCAATTTGCAGTCATTATTTGAAGCCTTTGCCGGCCCCGCCCACTGACTCTCCTCTGGCCCAGTATCAGGACTTGCAATCAGATTCGAGTAGAGGTATTGGCAGCATCCCCTTACCCATATTTCCCGCAGCGGGACATTCAAAGTTCCCCCTTTGGTATTTTTTTTCTTTTTAGACCGGTTAGGGGAAGTCGCTCCCTCTCAGTCACTCCCTCTATGGCCGTCTCTGTCGCACTGGTGCGAGGCACGTGGTAGTAGTGCAGGTCGAACTAAGAACGTTTATTGCGGTTAAACGAATTATCACACCCCAAAGGGAGTGCAAGGCATGGGAATGCCGGGGCAGTGAGCCCAGGATGCCATTAGGCCTTATCCTTGTCCCCTGTGTTTTATATTTTTTTTTTATCCCCTCGGATCGCCCTTGTCGTTTTCTGTTTATTTGGATGCGTTAACTACTCGAAAACCTTTCAACACTCGCTCTGAAAAAGCGCAAACAAATGCCCGTATATGGGGTGAGACCTGGTCTGGTTCTCTGGGCTGGGTCAATGCGTTGCTCTAATTGTTGGCCGTTTTGTCCTGACCGTCCCCCTTTCCTAAGGCTAACCTTACCCTTCTCTAACGCCACTTGTTGGCAGCTCTGAGCCCCGTACTTACCGCAATTTGTTTAACCAAATTGAGTACCTACACAGGCGCGCATAAATCTTGGCCAAAAGAACCAGCTGGGAGCTAAAATACAGAGAACCAAAAAAGGGGGTACCTAAGTGGATATTAATATTTTAGAGCCAGCTAAAGGTAAAGCCTTCAACCTTAAATCTTAAGATACTTATTTTATCCATAAGATATTTCCCTCTGTGTATAAATACCGTTGCTTCTTCCTGTACGGCGACTCCTTATCAATTACGTACGATTCCCGTTTTAACGAGTTCGTTAAACTTTCAACTCTGGCTCCACCAGCGACTCCAGATCCTCCTTTCTCCTGCAGCCCTATATCCCTGTGGAAAGACGCAGCCGGCGCGGTTCGGAGTTTATTTATGTGGGCAACCCACAACTAAATTCGGAGCAATTGTTGATTTTTAGCATTTGGCATTCGGCATTCCGCATTTACAGGACTGGAGTACAATTCTTTCCGTTTTCCGTTTTTATCGTTTCAGCTCGAACACCTGCTCCAACCTGTGCGAACTGCCCAACGGCTACAACTCGAGATGCGAGCAGAAGTTTGTGCAAAAACGCTTAATTGCGCTCCAGGGCAACGGACAGAATCTGTACACGGACACGTTCTGGTTTCCCAGTTGCTGCGTCTGCACGATAGCCGCCAATTAAATGTGTCAGGATCCGCCCAAGGACGAGCAAGGAGCTGGCGACCAAGGAGGATGGGTGGTTTTTGCAAAATCATATCTGATAACTGAATGATACAAAAACGCAAACACAACTCCAAAACGCCCACGAAACACACACACTCAAAACAAAAACAATCTCTCTCATATATAGTTACACACAAAACACACAAAATGTAGTTCTTAAAAATGTAATTTAAAATCGAAAACATCGAGTGCGGCCCCCAAAATTGGATTCAATGCCCGCAAATCCTTTTTTCTATTCTGTATAGTAGAATTAGTCTTACCCTGTGAAGCTAATGGACATTAAATAAACACCGATTCGAGCTCATGTTTTCTTCAATTTAAAATAAAAAAGAAATGCTCTTTTTATTTTGGATGGTATTAATATATATAGAAAGGTAAGTTGTTGTCATTAAACTTTTAATGGTAATAAACCAATTCCATCCCCTCTCACAAATCCCCATCAGCTATTTTCAATTACACAGAAAGATTTTCCATTTCAATCTGAACGAGAGCCCCGGGGGCATAGAGTAAAATCGGATTTTGTGGTTTTTAATTAATATATTGTAGGTATTCTCTTAGATGTAAAACAGCCATACCCGAGAGCATAACCAGACACAACTTTTAATTGTGAAATAACGAATTGATAACTTCCGCACTGCCGCAGCAACAACAGCCATCACATCTAGTTGCAACAACACCTGCTGCTCTTCCTCCTGAAAATGCAATAGCGTTCCATAAATCCAGAAGCAATAATCGTAAAATAACATCAGGTGTCACGCGCACGAAACGCGGCTCAAAAATAAAGGGGCCAGGGCCACATCTGACCAGGGGAAGGGGTATAGGAGTGAGTAATATGGTAGTATTGAGGTAGATATTATTGCCCGATGATGTATTATTATACGGTTTATTCAGTTGGCTACGTAGTTGGCTACCCAAGAGAAAGTTTACAAATATGATGTACATTTAATCAATATCTTAGGTAATTCTATGTACTATGTATATGGCAAAGCTCATGCGAATATGGATTGATGCTTTATTGTGCCCTCTGACGCCGGATGTTACACAAACTTACATCCTCCTGGACATCACCTGGTGAGCATCGGAAGTCTGATTATGGCCAATCACCGCGGGATCACCGACTATAAACTATGGAAGACGTTGCCCCTTTCCACAAGGATCTGCAGCTGCGAGGACTTCAACCCAAGGACACACCAATCATAACAGTTTATTCCATCCTGTATATCGTTAAATAAATAAATAAAAATATTTTAAAGGATCTATTTATCTTTTTATTCAGGGGGAATTCGAGGTAAAGGATATGTTGATATTTTTAGAAGTGAAAGTGATTCAAGTTTAAGGACCATATCTCCGCCAAAACGAGACATCAAAAAACGGTATATCTTCCCAATCTTGGCTCTTCTAGTAATATTTTTGGGCAGTAAAAAACGCAAAAAAAAATTGTTGACCAAATTTTCAATAATTTAAAACGGGTACCTTAAAAAATTGGGTATTTTTTTTGGGAAAAATGTTATAACTCGGCTAATATTTGGACGATCCAGAAATGTTATATCTTCCCTATTTCAGTACCATCATATTCCATTAAAACATGGCAACAAAAATTTTGACCCATTTTTCGCCATTTTTCAAAGGGGTACCATCATAATTTTTGACAAAAATTGAAACAAATTTTTTTTAATTTTATATTTTTAATTCTTTTATGCAGTTTGAGGGGCTATCGAACGCTGATTTATTCATGGCATTCCATTTTCGAATCGGTTTCAAAATATATGAGATATACGCTAAAAAGTGCATCAAAAATTCAGATTTTAAATACATGAAAATATTACAATAATGTCAAATTTTTTGCCAATTTTTACCAAAGGTCCCTGGCCTCATCTTGACAGAGAAACAGCCAAGATACCTACCAAAATATGAGTTCTCTCCCCGATTTCCTGTCCCCCTTTAAACCCCGTATCAAATGCAATTCCAGGCCTGTCCCAAATGACATGATAAATATAAACACACCCCTGCATTGCCAAAAATATAACCCCAGCCTCATTCATACTTCTGCATTGCAATATTTCCGGGTAATAAGTCAAAGTTCAGGCATTTGCATGGGCGATGCAGATCTCAATTAAACTGAAGGTGCAACAGCCTCTCGGCCTGCTGCAAACTAAATACTTTCCGTTTTTATACCTGTTGTGGAAATTTACGGGCCGGCCGTAACACACAGTGGTCCTTCGAACTGGCACAGTGGGTCGCACCCACCCACTGGGCTCTATTGTGGATCTTCTCACACCCCGTGACTCTACGGAGGGTTAATTTGTCCTCTGAGTCCTGTGGGACGGAAAGAGACGGGGCCTCGATGAGACAGAGTCAGAGCAACTGGCATGCATGTATTGTACGAAGTTTTAGCAATGATTAGCATCATGGAATGGAAAACTATTGTTCCCAATACGCATAGAGTCGAGAGTCCCAGGTAGAAGGACATTGACAAATCAGGTAAGGATAGATCCACAAGAAAAAAAATAATAATAGGACGAAATGGCAAGTAGAAATTGCTACAATTTCAATTAAGTCCGATTCTGAAGAGTATGGTTGATATATATTTTTAGAAAGTTAAGGAATGTGATGTCCGTTTTTTTAAATTGATTATCCTATTGTCGAAAATGTCCTTAGACTATATGTCCTTTGAAATATTTCTCACTAAATGTACTTCCTTAATTATTTTCTGTGTGAGGATACGTGTGGGTCTCTGCAACTCTCAACTTTGGCAACCACTGCAGGCTCCTCTAAGGACGGTCAATGTCCAGATCCCCTTGACCCCCCTGATACCCCCACCCCACAAAAAATCAGAAAAAAAAACCAACAACATCGGGGGCAGCTGAAGTTTCATCAGCAACAACAATAAGAACAACAAGGAGCATGGAGGGAAAGAGAAGGGCATATTCTGTGGCTGCCTGGCAACCAAAACCCCAGGAAAGAGATGGCCTGATGATGAAGAGCAAGCATCAAAGGCGAACAACAACAAGAACAACAACAACATCAACACTAACAACACCAACAAAAGCAACAAAAGGCAATGCAGCGCTGCCGGCGTTGCTGCTGCTGAGTTGTGTATAAAAATTTAACATCTGCTCCTTTCATGATTTCGGAAAACTCAAAACTCGCACAACAACGAGGGCTGTAATGGCACAAATATAAATACGTGTGAGTGTATTAGTAGTCGCCTGCCTCTCTCTCTCTTTCACACACCGATGCCCCGTCTCTTTCTAGCCAGTTAGAGTGCGTGCTTGGCCTGGTAGGTTGTTGCTGTTGCTGCTGTTAATGCATTTGGCTTGCTTTGCTCGTATTACGTGCATTTGCCACTCTCGCAGATACGCAGATACTCGGATGCCAAGATACTCAGATACTCAGATGTTCGCACCGATGGATACTCGTCTGCTGCCAACTGGCAGCGGATCTTGAGCGGAATGAAATAAATTAAAATAAGCAGTGCCAGCTGAAGGCGAGAAAGCAACAGGAATACAGCATCCATATCCACAGGATGTTTTGGTCCTTTTTTGCCGACAATCCAAGCACTACTTATCCTTGTGGTGCATTCAACTTGGAGGGGCAAGTTGCCAAGATACCCAAGGGGCATGCAATCAAATATAAAATTTAAAATTTATATCAAAATTATTAAGTATCTATTCTTAAAGTCCTTTTCATATCCTTTAAAAAAAAATAGATACAAAAGATACGATATCTTTGCCTTTTCATATCCTTGCTCACAATTCATTCATTTTTCAAATACTTAAATGCTGCAACTGTCAGATACATTTCTGGTTTCCTTTGCCGTTTTCCTTTGTATTGTGGCTGCATGCAATGTGAATGTCCTTTGCTGTCCTCGCAAAGGACACGCAAGCAGAAAGAGAGAGAGAGTGGAGAATGCACAAGAGAAATCGCACAGAAGTAACTTTCTGGCTAAGAAGAGAAAACTTGCCGCAAACTTTCAGTTGCTGCGGCTGTGGCGACTATCTGCTAGATACCCGCTGGTGCTGGAAACCTGAACTAGGACTCGGATCGCCAGTAGGTGAGGCAAAGACTATCTCGAGTTTGTGGCAGAGGCCAAATAGCCGGCTGCATTCTGTTTGTTTGTGCAGATGTTCCTTTTGGTCCGTTTCTTGGTCTTGCAAGTCGCACATACAGATAGATTCGTATCTGTGTGCCTCGTGGGATTTTCGGTGCATGGCATGTGTTATACCATGGGACAGGTCAGTGTTCTCGGGAAAGGATAAGGGTTGGGCTAGGGTCTGGATGGGCGCCTCCGGACGGATGATTCTCCATTACGCAATGCAAATAGGCAACGTTCCGTAAACGTTTTTTGTTCCTTCTATTTTTGTTGCCTGTCAGCGCCAGGATACAATGCAACTGTCAAGGTTTCGCTGGCTGCCATTTTGCGCTGCCTGGCTGTTGTTTTCCCGCATCCACGTGCAACATGGGGCATCAAAAGGCGCCCCACAATAACTCGGGGAAAAAATGGCACGGCCAAAGGAGCCCAGCTCCGACTAATAGTTGGCATGAAACGAGGTTGCAGGCGGCACACAAAAAAAGTGAAATGAAATCAACTGACATATAGAGCCAGCAGCCACCAGAGCCACCCCCGCCGCCCCTCGTCCTCTTCAACTCTTTGCAAACAAGGAGGATGGCAAAAAAAAAAGCATAGAAGAAAAATGTGAAAAAAATAGGAGGCAAATTGTACCAAAATCCCGCAACGGCAGCCAGTGCACTGTGTACGGCCAGGATATGGCACACAAGCCGGCTTGCAGGTCCTGGGCCATGTCCTGGGTCCAGCTACAAGCACACAACCCACACAGCACAGCACCGGCAGCAACATCAGCAGCAGCACCGCAGCAATACCAGCAATCCCTGCAACAGCAGCAGCCAATGTGCAAAAAATAAAAGCACCAGAAAATATCTCGTGGTGCACATAGATTGCAAGTTCGTATTGTGAGCGCGAAACTAGGGAAAAAAATTTTTAATTGGAACAACAACTGTACAGCGGCAGCAGCGACGCAGC